TACAGTTAATTATTGTTTTATTTATAAAAAATAATGTATGTTGATTGGCATTAGATTAATTTACGATTACCTACTGACCTAAATTAGGTCAGATATTACGATATTTTTAGCACGCCAATAATAAAATCAATCTAACTTGTGGAAAGTAAAAACTAACATATTTTGAGGTATTTTTAAGGACTTAATAGGACCGGTCGTTTTGGAAATCCTTGGGGGAGGCCTTTGTCCAGCAGTGGACGTCATTTGGCTGGAATGAACGAACGAACTACTATACTCTTACATTCTGATGAGCCAAACAAACTTCATGTCTTTCAAAATTAACTACAATATCAATTCCTCATCTCAATATCTCATTATAGATGAGAACTTGATATATTAGCTTCACAAATGAATTTCTTACACGCTCGTAATAGAAGTCAATCTGAACACGAATCAGACCATTCAGTTCAATCATGATTACATCCGTAATCGTACCTTCCCACAATTTCTTATTTCTATTTCATGTTACACTATTGTTTTAAAGAAGAAATATTTGATTATTGTTTGTTTATACAGGGTGTCCAAAAAGTAGTGTCAAGCTGAAGCCCAGAGGTAGAGCATCACAAGGGCTACTCGAATCACCGCGACTTTCGATAGTTTTTTATACAATATACTGGTTTACTGGACCGATTTGAAAAATTCTTTCACCATTCGAATTTGAACGTAGGCGGTACGAAGTTCGCCGGGTCAGCTAGTAATATGTACTATAAAATCTTGATCGTTTATTGCTATGTACTTCCGTCCCGTTATTTCATTGTCAGTAATTGGGTATAATTAATTAATTATATTTAATGAGGAGCTTTAAATCAATACACATAATCATTATCAAGCAATATGTAAGTATGTCAACAATACATAATAAGTTAATAACTTAAACATATAATTAGGTATGTGTTTGCTATTAATACTCTAATTAAGCATTTTTTAATTGAACGACAAGCTTTTGATAATGTGGTCATTATTTGTAACGCAAGACAAGCTAATGAACCTTACGTGAATTTAGATTCGTCAGACAAAGACTTTCGGGTTTCCCCTTTATTCAAAAATTAGTGTTTTATCCCTCTTTTTAAGAAATCATCTCCACTTCACCCCTCGAGGTTTTTTACACGACTTTAGCAAGATTTATCATAATCAAATGTTTATTGCACATGTGGTTACAGTGATGTTACACTAAATTTATTCAGTGATTTAAGGGTGACAAACAAAGATAGTCTCTCATTAATAATTTATTATTGTGTATAGTTAAGTAAATTACAAAATTTTTAACTGGATATGCCGCCGTCCGTATATGACAATGATGCAAAATTGCGAAGTATTACCGGTATTACAGTGATACATCGGGACCACATATCGCTATTATTGACAATAATAGCGATATGTGGGCCCGATGTTGCAAATTGGACACAGCGGCGCGAGCGCAACAATCAGGAAGAACGGGATCGCCAACTTCCCTTCCAGGGAAGGGGTCCCAACCGGTTTGCAGAATCAGGGTTGCCACTTAACGGTAAGATTAACAATGCGTCTGTCTGTCCCTATTTTATACAAATAAAAATAAATATTCATTCTTACACGAATTTCTGACGATGACAACTGTAACCTAATTATGAAATAAGTTACTATATCACATACACTAAAACTCTATAATTGTGCAAGAAAGAGATAATTTTGAATTTATAACTCAGGATAAAAAATGCAATAAAAATATTAATTACGGTTTTTGAGCAAGTTTTTCAGGATAACTTTATTGTAACAAAGTTGGATTACAATCGTTGGTCGACTGTAACAACCCTGTATGATCGGCAAGAAGCAAATTGTAATGCATGGGAACCAGATCGGGAATACATTATTAATAACAAGTTATAGTGCGGAAATATAACGCTTTTGCAAGAAAGGCAAAAAGATACTATTTTTTAGAATATTTCAAAAGTTATAGTAATTATTTTGGTACAGGAAGTAGGAAGTGAGTTTAAATTTCTTCCAACGGTCATCGTGTTGGCTCGTACTTTCTATTAAGTTTAATCTACTTCTATTCAATACTATTAATTACTTCCTAATTAACCCAATAAACCTACCTAGAATTTATTAAAATAATAGGAGTCTTCAATTTATTTTTCAATCGTTACTTATTTAATTATTCAAAATTAACTTACATTTTCAAATTACTATGTCACACAGTCACAATCACTGTAAAGGCGTGTGTCCACACGGGCGGACTTACGAGCACTGAGCGAGCTCGGCTCTCCTCAGATCGTTAGGCTAAGTTTAGACCCGCGGCACTAAGGCCTCAGCCTCGAACTTAGCGGGCAGCGGGGCGGGAGCGGCGGCGGCGCTGGAGCGGGGCGGGCAACGCAGACCCGTTCTCGAAACAAGCGGGCAGCTCGCGCGGCGCTTTAGCGGCGAAGTGTTGTGTTGTCGAGATATTTGTTTTTATTCGCAAACGAAATGTCTGAACAACGGCGACAACCGCCCCGCTGCCGCGCCGCTGTTTTCGAGAACCGGTCTATTTGATTTTACGCATAAGATCCTGCCGCTCCCGCGCCGCCGCCGCCGCCGCCCCGCTGCCCGCTAAGTTCGAGGCTGAGGCCTAAGGCACGCTAGGGCTGGCCACAGTATGTAATTATAATCTATGTTTTATAATTATTTTACCAGTAAAATACCCCGGTCAGACAATATGACCTGGGAAAATGTATCAGTCACATGAAAATACATACAGTTTGTACTGGTTAAACCAAACATAACATCGTTTGCGTAAATGTAAAAGTTAACTATTAGAGATCTCTATCAAACTTTTGTCATTAAGTTAAGATTTTGAGTAAGTAGAGCAAATTAAACTGTGTTTCTGCCATTGCTTTTAGTATAAATGGATTAATTGCATAGTGATAAGAGATTTGAAAGGTAAAGAAGTTAAGGAAATGACCTATAAATGTAGTAAAATCTGTGTCTTCGTGACTATAGAGCTTTCTAACCTAGTTTTTTTCAGCCACACCTTTAAATAAGCGAGGCAGCCCTACCCACGTGTGGGAACCATCGATCTCTTCGCTAGGGCCCTTAACACAAAGGTCAAGCCGGTTAAGGCCGTTTCGCTTCCAAACCAAATATTAGAGAGTGTAGGCACTTTCATTTCTTCCGTATGTAGAGCAATAATTTATTGTACACAAACGTGAAGGCTACGTGTGGTTTTCCATAGAGGAAAAAAACTTGATAAATGGGATCAACTTTTCTTACAAATTCAAATGAAGACACTTATAGGCATCCAGAGACGTGGCCCAATAATTTATTTATTTTAAAGGGAAGATCAAAATTTCAGTAGATATCCCAAAATGAGGGTATTTATGGGAATAAATAAAACGTAGAGCTATCAAGCTGTTTTCGGGAACTACTTAATTAGGTATTTGCTGGTGATAAGAAAAGGCGATTATAATGAACTTCTAAAGTAAGTTATTTAGGAGACGAATCTCACACTTATAACTTATAAGTATGTAGTTTTATTTGTTTGAAGTATATTTGCTAAGTAAATAAATAAACCTACATGTTTTGTGATCAGTTCCACTTCACATTACGACTTTAGAAATCGCTACGTGCTCGAAAATAAACTTTAATAATTTAATCAACTCGTGTGCCTGAGGTCTTATAGCTTTATCGCGATTTATATTGCGTATCCAAGATACATCACATCTTCGTTGAATGAGAATAAATCGATTGCATTTCCAGAGACTCGGCAGGGGCCGTCCATCTGGCTGGCTTCGGTGAAATTATCAGGTAAATTATTAAATTGGCCGGCCGTTGCACGCACAGCGGCACACACACTTAACTTCTTGTTTAATTGTAATAAGGCCCATTTTGCCAAATGTAGAGTCTGATGAACTGTCGACTGCGCATTACATCATGGTGGGTTGGCGATGGAATGCAAGTGCAAAAAGTTAACTTGAGTAAATCCCTCGAAATTCTGCTTGACCGAATATTTAGTGCAAGCCATTTTGGACCTTATGGTAATCTCGTTAAGATCCGTGTCCGTGTCCGCCACACTAATAACAGTTCCCGCGATTCGAACCCGTAACCACAGAGCGTCCTACACTACTTACCCGTCGTGAATGTCTAGATGGCAAAATCCCTATACGTGTGTATTGAGTATTGTGTTCATCATGGTGTAGTGCTGAATATGTGCAATTAAGTGCCTTTATTTCAAATTTTGTGACCCAAATTCAATAAAGTTTGGGGTCCTGCCACCTTGAACTCAAGATGGCGGGACCACTTCGCTACTCAAAAGCGCATTTCTTTTACTTTACTAAAAATTTTGCATGTGAGTGAGCTTACTTGTTGTTACGGTAAGTACCTACAAAATATCGTAGGGAAAGGATTTCGAAATTAAAACTATCAGAACTTGACCTGCTTTTAAGGGGCTGTTTAGAGTGCCTGTAAACTGTTTTAGTAGGGTAGATAGTAAAGATGAATGTGTTGAAACATAATACAAACATGAAATTAAGTTAAATTGTTTATAAGTACTTAAATGTTCTGAGCTTTGTTACGTCTTGTTTGAATAGTGTAATTGGTACTACCGTTCTATCCATGAATAAATAAATAAATAAATGATCAGTCTAAGTTTTTTTGGCTGAAAATATAAACATTTTCCTACTATTGTAATGGAACAAGCCTTTCAGAGTAAAATTAACAGTTTGTTGATCAAGACCACTTCACATCACATTGTTAATTTTTGAGTCATGAATAAACAAAACCAATTTACTACAAGTATTTTCCAAACACATTAGGTACTTGTGTGTAGAAAATATGTTGATTAAATTATCAGTCTATAAATAGCAGCATCTAACCAAATGTTTTATGACCTAATTTGAAAAAATAGCATTTACCTACCTACTTATAAGTTGAATATTTTAGGCAAACAAATAAATAAAAGTTATAATTTAATATCAAAATAAATTTTACTTTATTAATAAAGTAGATGAGTCACTTAATCAAATATTTACAAAAATCACATTGAGATGGAGTTCAAACACGTAGCATAATAGATATTGTGTCATTGTGAGTTATTTAATTTTTCCAAAAATTGTTGGAACATAGCATTTCTCTCTCTTTGTATAGCGTTTGATTCTTCAACTATATTTATGAGTCTATCTAATTTCTCTTCAACAGTCCTTTGTCGGTCTCTCATTTCAAGAGTAATTTTTCTAAACTCATTATATCTCTTTTTATTCAGTTTCTTCTTGGCTTCATCATTCTGGCTCGTGGATGCTTCTTCATTGTCTGGCACTGAAGCCTCAATAGGACGTGCAGCGTTTATCGATAAGAGGACTTTAGCAACATCTTCCGTGTTGCCCTCTTGTATCTTTTGCTGAATCTCTGGTTGATATTCACCATTTTCACTAAATATTTCCTCAAATATATTAAAATATGGCCACCTGACTGTTAGAGCCCCACTTCTATTCTTTTTCTTCAATAAGCGAACATAGGTTTGTTTCAAATTCCTGAATTTCTTGTCACAGTTTTCTGGTCCTTTTCCGACCACATGGGCGATGTTAAGCCAAACGTTTTTCTTTTTCATTTTAGGATCCCTGAACTTCTCAATGTTTTGCAGGTACATGTCCAAGAGCAATCTAATACTTTTATCTTCCCAATGCTCATCTCCGTCTTCTTGAGTTTCTCCGTCTACAATCACTGTGTTATTCATCTGCACATAATCCCCTTCTGTCTCAATATATTCAATTTCGTGAGCTGAAAATGATTAATTCTTTTAATTTGTATTGGTAACTTTATGTAATCATTTTTGGTAAATTTTTAGTTAAATAAGCATAGCAAATTAATTAAAATACTTCAATGAGCTGGGACCATTAATAGTAAAAAATAATTTAAAGTTCAATTGTTAAATACCTATGTACCAAAAACATTAATTTATTCAAACATGAATTACAAAACCCAAAAGCTTGACACAAATGACAACAATAAAAATTAAATAAATTACCACTCATTTGTACACTCTTCTCGCTGCACTTTTTGATGAATTTGTTAATTCAAACAATAATTGAAGATTCAGGATACTTTAAATTGAAATTTTTGAACAATCTTGCATCATTTGTTCCATTCAGCGACGACATTACAAAATGGCGCTCGCGTAAAGCGCTTTATAACCCAACCATGTAGCGATGAACCCAATTTGAATAAATAAAATATTATTTAGTACAGGCTCCGACCAGTTCCAACATACTTTTGAGTCCATAAGTCCATATTTTTAAACATAATCATAAATAATGGTATTATAAAATGAGATAACGCAGGAATGGAGACAAAAATCATTTAATTCCTAAGTCCTTTCGATATTTTCAACTCCCATCTCAATTTAGACGGATAGCCGAGCTTTGACATTTCTCGATTTCTGATAACGCAACCACACGTGAAAACATCTAACTGATAACAGTTTTATTTGTAACTTAAACAGTAATCTATATTACGTAAATCTGGCAAATTATACTTAAAGAGCTCTTATAAATCTATAAAGTAGATATTATGACTAATTTGTACTTTCAATTATTGCAAAACTTTTTAGTAAAAGAATAGATACAACTATAATGACTGACAAGACCATAATTAAGTAGTATCAAGTAGGTAGAAAAGTAAAGAAGTCTGGTCCTTGAAATGTTAAATTACCTGAATCAGCATCTGGTATGGGCTTGTAAGTTGCAACGTTGTCGTCCCCTTTTACCTGCCCTCCATCTATGGAGAGGTGGTTTTTTCGCGTCTCGGACATGATGAATTATTACACAAACCGGTTTGTAACTCTAAAGAAAGCACTTTCTTTCCCTACAGTAAGTAATTAGAGGTAATAAAATCTTTCGCCATACGTGTAATCGGCCCCTCTCTGTTATTAACTGAACGAATGAGTGACTGACTGAATTACTCCACCCAGCTGTTCATCAATGAAAATGAATGAATGAATCTCGCCTTGCCCATGAAGCTACAGATAAAAATGGAGGGCAAAGTTGGGAACAAAACTTGAGTCAAATACCTACTTATATCTATCTCGCTCTCTNGTCATAAAGGTTGCATTCCCAAAGCGCGTGATCGCGGCTCTCTTCGACTTCCTCGCCGCATGGGCATAGTGCAGACTCGCACAGCGTCATCCTATGTAGGCGCTGCCTGAAGCACCCGTGCCCAGTTAACAATTGGGAAACCACGTAATCCGGTTCAACCCAGCCGAGAGAGAGCCTCACCGCCACAATGGGAAAGAACTGGTACAGCTCACGTCCGTCACTGCTGGCATCCCACCGCTCCTGCCAAAGGGTCACGGCATCCTCTCTAATGGTGCGCTTCAATTCCCGGCGCTCCCTGGGGGCCAGTTGGATTCCCTCCTCCGCAAGTCGTCCTGCACGAGAGACCTCCAGGTCGGCGGGCAATACGCCGGCAAGCACCGGTAACGCTGCCGAGCTGCACGACCTGTAAGCCTTCGTGAGTAAAATAAGCGCCGGTCGCTGAGTACTCAACAACACCTTTCTCATCACAAAAATCGACGAGCGTCGGTACCATACCTTTGGTGTCAACAGTTTAGCTACTACCAGGTAAAGGTATTTCACCGCCAGCAGTTGAACTGTAGCTCCAGTGACGGCGTCAGGTCGTGCCAATCCGGCGCCGCCTTCCGCTAGCTCTAGCAAGGACACTGCGCCCCTTTGGTGTCAACAATTCAGCCACTAGTTAAAGGCCTAGTATCTCACCAGCACCAGTAGTCCAGCTGCAGCTCGAGCGGCCCGCTGCCACCTTCTTCCAAATCTAGCGAAGACACTGCGTCTTCGCTTCGTTCACGTTCTTTAGGTGTCAACAATCCAGCCACTAGTTAAAAGCCTAGTACTATCTCACTAGCCAGTAGTCCAGCTGCAGCTCGAGCGGCTCGGCGCCATGTTTCTCCCACTCTAGTGAAGATACTGCGCCCTTGTTCATATTTCTTTACTGTCAACAATTCAGCCACTACCAGGTAAGGGTCATCTCACCCGTCAGTAGTAGAACTGTAGCTCAGTGGCGGCGTCGTCGCCCTCCTCTAGCTCTAGCGATGACACTCCGCTTTGGTGTCAACTGTCCTCAATTATCCTAGCCCTAGTAGTGGCTTTTTAAGTGTATATCGCACCAGCCAGTAGTCCAGCTGCAGCTCGAGCGGCTCGGCGCACAGCAGCGGCGGCGCCAGGTCGTGCGCGGGCGTCATCCGCTCCCTCCTTGAGTTCTAGTTCGCTACCAGTTTAAGTTTATCCAATAACTCACCAGCCAGTAGTCCGGCTGCAGCTCGAGCGGCCCGCTGTCACCTTCTTCCAACTCTAGCGAAGACTCTGCGTCTTTGCTTCGTTCGTTCTTTAGGTGTCGCTACTGCCCTAGTAGTGGTTTTTTAAGTGTATATCTCACCAGCCAGTAGTCCAGCTGCAGCTCGAGCGGCTCGGCGCGCAGCAGCGGCGGCGCCAGGTCGTGCGCGGGCGCGGGCGTGGCGGGCGGCGAGGGCCGCGCGGGGGGCGAGCCGCCGCCGCCCTCCTCCAGCTCTAACGAGGACACGCGGCCTCGCTCCACTGGCGTCCCACTCCAGCCACTCACCAGCCAGTAGTCCNGAATATCTTCCTGACTTAGCTTTATGAAAGAAAACGTATTGGCAAAACTACGCATTTTTACATTTATTAAAAATAAAAAGCTTGAGTAAAATAGTCTTTATTTTATGAAACTAGGTCATTTACTTATTAGGATATTTAAAAGTATGGAATTAAGTATGAATTACTAGTAGTACTATTTAACATAATGGAATAACGATCATTACTTTCATAAACATTAGGCACAACAAAAATATTATTTGCAAATTAATAATGTAGAATTGTAGAATAACGTCTACCGCTACAAAATTATTTTAATCCACAGTCAGAGCCCCGATTACGGTAACTTTTAACGTCTACAATCCAGACGCGTTTCTGATTCTGCAATACGATTGGTCAAAACAGCTGACGTACGCTGTTGAACGACCAATCGTATCGCAGAATCGAGAAGCGTGTCTGGATTGTTGACGTTAAAAATTACCGTAATCGGGGCTCCGACTAGCTATAAATTTAACAAAATATCAGTTTTATCGGAATTAATTAATTTTTGAATCGAGTCACACGATATCATTCGATGACTTTGCGAATGCAGTACGATGATACGATTACTTTTACGTTGCGGCAATCACTAAAATTCGCTAAAATGACACTAATGACGTTTAAAAAGTGGCACGCACGGCTTCATACAATTTTTGACACATGCTTCATCTATCCATATCTGTGTGTTCATCAATGAAAATGAATGAATGAATCTCGCCTTGCCACGCCTTCTCTGTTTTTTTCTGACAGACTGAATAGGCATTAAAAATCATAATTAAACTACCCACATCAAAATTTTAACATATATGTAATTAACAAAAATCGAGTCTTCAAGTCTAAACATAATGGATAATTATGAACTTATTTATTCAAATGCTCTGAGATGGACGAATGTTCACCAATCCAAGAGTTATGTAAATTGAACTGCATGCCGTTCAACAATAGATAACAATGAAATAACAAACCGTATGCATATGGCTTTAACGTTTACATTGCATTGAATTACTATGTGGAATACAAGTCAGCTGTAACTGACAGTAGTGACAGTGACATTTATTTATGTGGTGCCTGCACAGTGGGTGCCTGCTTAGTGCTTGTGAAACTAGTTTATTTTTGAGCTCAAAAATTCTTAAATGGCAATTAAATAAGTGAAGGAAGTCTTTTCCGTAAGTTTAAGTTTAACTTAATAAAATGTGTACCATACCACCGGCTCCTCCACCTCCGCCTGTTGCATCCAATATTTTGCCTGATAGTCATTCAACCACAAAGTCTTCGTCAAACAACAGCCATGAGTATTCTAAACTCTGCGAATGGGCGGGAGAAGATCCAGAATTACAGGAAGCATGTACCAAGAACAACTTAGGCCTTCATACTGTACCTTTCAAGCATAAATACAATAAGTTTAAATCTATACTGCAAGTTGGGCCTACTTGTGGATTAGTAGCTCTCTCTATGTTAGTGAATGGTGCAGTCCCTCCAGATGAAATCCTGAACATAACAAAATCGGAAGGATATACTTATAATGGAGAAATGTTTAGTTGTAAATACATGGCCAAAATAGTAGAGAAAGTATTCAATTTAGCAAATATAGAAAATGTCAAGTGTAGCGTAAAAATTGGAGGCCTTTTTAGTCCAGAAACTATAGAAAAATTATTGGAAGGTGCTGTGTTATTAGTTCCGTATCCTTTTTTATTGAAGAAACTTATTTTAGTCAGAGGGTAGGGTCTCTTTTTAACTGTTTAAACTTTTTGGTAATTACATAATTTTACTTTTGCTTAAAATCATGCAACCCATATCATTTTTATATCATCCTTAACTCAAGTGCAGTTATGATTCGGACAGAAACCATACCCCATGCCTCAAGAATGGTCACACAGCGCACTGGGCACTCATCTGCGGAGTCATCATTCTAGAGGAACCTTCGGACTCTTATGAAACAAAACCAGAAAATGTTTACGTTTTTAGTCGTCACGGAAAGTCCAAATATCTAGCTGCATGGAAGTTGAAAGAACTAGCTAAAAGTAACAGGAACTTATGGGAGTTTTCTCCAAAAAGGGGGGCAGAGAAGTTGCCCTACTTATTACCAGAAGGTGGTATAGGGGGAACAAATGGTTTAAGAAACCAGTTCCTCATGTTTGAGGGGTTGAACTAGATCAGTAATTGTTATTGTTGTTTTGTATGTAAGTGTTAACTCTTATCTTAGTGATGATCAAATAGAAATGCCTAACAATTTATTTATAGGAATGTTCAATTATGTAATATAGTGAAATGTTTATTTAGATACAATATATTTTATATATTTAGAGTGATAGATTTTGAACAGAAAAACATCAAATCTGTATGTGTAGACCAGCATGTTTTATCTATGATGTTTTAACAATTTTGTTATTTTCAATGGCTGAAATAAAAAATAAAAGACTTGAAATTCAATGCAAATTTTTATTTGTACAATAAATACAAATCATTACTTGCAAATTAAGATAAAATAATAAATCTCATCACTTATTTAAAAGAATATTCTAATGAAATAAAATTCAAGATGTCATTATGGAATAAAATGAAAATGTTTTACATTTGAAGAAGTTTAAATCAATAACTATTGCATAGTCTAACATTAATATGCGATTTGGTTGAAAGGTTACAATTTGAAAAATAATTAAAACATATTTTTGTACTAATTTATTCAACTTAATAAAATTCTTTACACTAACAATGATAGTTTTGGCTATTATTAGAAAAGTTTGTGATGATTACACACATTGTTAATTTATCAGCAATTCCAAATTGCATTTTCCATACAACATTGCCAATTTAAATTAATTTGCCAAGACAGCAGTTATGAGATCAAAAATTATAGAAAACATACAATAAAACATTTGCATTTTTTTCTGTAGAATCATGGATTCACTTCATCAATATACAATTTGATATGTAATTAAATCGGTGAAAGTAAACAGCAAGCAAATGTTTTATTTTACACTTCAATCAAATAATACAAGGTTTGTGTTCAATAATAATTATATCATGTTACATGTAGTAATTAAACAAGTAATAAGTATTAGAAAGTCATTCGTAACATGAATAATATCAGCAGGATTTTTCCTTTGGGTAAAACCTTTTTCTATTTAGCTTTTTAGTCTGACAAGCAAATAAAAGATTTTCAAATAATTTTTTATTGTTCAATCAAAAATGTAATGTAGCATTAAAAGAAGACTGCTAGCAATACAATATTTATAATGATTTATATCTTGAAAGTTGTTAGTCTTCTCTGTTACTGCTGTAACTCATTTGGAAAAGTCTGTAATTTAATTTAATGTATTATGTTTGAAAAGAAAACACTATCAGATGGGTTTAGTATCATTAGAAAGTCCACTACATTTTGATGTTAACTGTACTACAATAGAGAGATTACACCAGTTAAGAATATATTATAAGGGATTTCGACTTGAATAAAATATAAGGTTAAGCAAGGATATATTTGGGAAAGTTATGATTACGAAGTATTCACTGTGTATTGGCCTAAATACTCATAATTCACGGCAAAAAGGGCGTCAATTTTATTGGATTTTGACCATAAGGAGAGTTAGAGGTTCAAAAACCTACAATTTATTAATGCGATACAGCTAGCTCAATTTTAAGCACAATTTACATGTTTATTAGCGATGAATATTAGATTTCTTATGTCAAGTTTATATATTATTTCCGACTCGGTATGAAATAATAAAAAAATGAGCAGTCCATTACATTATCAAATTTTATATTTCGAAACATTTGCAATTAATTCAAATAGCTCTGCTTCTGAACATTTAAGAAACTTGCATCTCGTCGGTGTTAAACGCCTAAAAGATATTATGAGAAACACTTGCGTTTCATAAACCGACAATAATCATAATCGTTTTTTATTGTATTTTGTTTTGACGATATTATAGTTGGACACTTACTTTATTAATCCAATACAACGATACACATTTATTTTAGTATTTACACGAAATACTACTATGCTAACTTTATATCGCTCGCACTTTACCGACAAATGACCGATGATTATTTCAATCAATCATTCCAAAAATCTTCGATCTCTATTTTTACACAAGTAGGTACATTTATGATTGAAACTGGATATAATTCAATTTTTTTTGACGAACATTACGATAAGTTAATTGAAGAATACATTATATTTTGGCACAATTTATTAATTAATAAGTTTCTGAAATATTCAGAAGATTAGCCGAATCAATTTTTGGTTAACACAGATAATTTTACATACAATTTTATATTCCATGAGTATGGCATAAAGTTTATCTTTTACAGTTAATAATGTAAATACTAAAAAGTATAGTAAAATAACTATAATAAAAAGAAAACTTTATTTCGAACGTAAAATGGAACTATCAGCGCCTCTGGCGGGCGCACGCAAAAGCTCTAACATTTAATCTCAAGAATTTTCACTCTGCACTAAAACCAATCGAACTTGCATTCTCGCTCACGGACAAAGGCTAAATCTAAACATTACACATGTTGAGAATATAGAAATTACATCTATGATATCATGAGACAGTCGTTGGCGTCTAGGGTGCCGACTCCATGCGTCCCTTTTGGCAACTAGGCGCGGACTTAGGGTCAACATTAAAGAGTATATTCATATTTAAATTTATAAGAGAAAATTGAGTCAAAGTGCCTTAAGTTAAGAATAATGGCGTAAACATTTTTATTCAACTAAGATGAGCCATATTATTGAAAAAAAAAAGATAGTCGCTTGTTGACAGGCAGATTCTACAGTTTCAACACCTGAATCCGCGCCTGGTGTCAATGATAGTTTTCTTCCACAATAAAATTAGCCGAGAAAAAAACGTTCTAAAACTGGCTCGGAATTAATTTCGAATTTAGAGAGAGCCAAGTCTCTTTCCGAGATACTTTACAATTTTAGCGCCAATTATAAAATACTACAACACAAGACACAGAAGACTAAGCATAGCTTGGAAAATGTAGGAAGATAATGTTGATTATTTCATCATAAAATATTATCGAAGTAAACACGTTTCTATTCTATTTTGCATCTAAACGTACTATTGAAACATCTAACCGTACAAAATTAAAAAAACGTCGCCAAATAGCATTTCAGCTGCGCTTATAAAAAATACAAAAGATGACTGCGACAATCCTTTGTCTTAATTAATTAAAAACAAAAAACTGCATTCACGAATCACAGACTAAACAACCGCTCGCCCAGCACGAACCAGCTCTGATATGCGCCGACGAATACTCATTGAAATTCGGTTTTCACTACACCAATACATAAAATCTAACTTACATACATATTGGAAATGTCACGAACCATTATTTCTCGATATATGTTGAGTACACGAATAACTACTATACCATTATAACATTAAATACGATACTAACAATAATAATTATGAATGACTATGATGAATAGTTAACGTGATTATTGAGCCTTTATTATGTAGCTTGAATACACACGAATACTGCGCCGCGAATGCGCTCGGCTAATTCTAAATCGACTCTCAAACGGCTACTCAAAATACATAACAAAAGCCGCCTACGCGCTAATAAATCATGGCAGCTCGATAGCGTAATAAATATTGATTACACAAAAGTCGACGTTGCGTCGGTACGATTAGGGTTGGAGATGGACGCGGCTCGTCGGCCGTCGTCGGGTGGCCGAATGTGGCCGAGGATGGCCGAGCGACGGTGGACAAGATGGCCGCGGGCGTCGTCAAGCGGTCATTGACCCCGGTAGAAGGCGGTGCGCGCGCTGCGGCCGCCGAGCGGTGGCCAAGATGACCACGAGTGCTGTCAAGCGGTCAGTGACCCCGACTTTACGACTCAGGGGGCGCGAGCGGCGCTCCGCAGGTGGCCACGGGGAAGGTCTTGACGTGCGTCTGCCACTGCGTGGACAGCTGGAAGAACTTGACGCCGTTCCATTCGGTGCCGTCGATGAATACTGCAAGCAAGAAAACAAAATGTTGAATGTGGTTTCCTTGGTCCAAAGAATAAACCTTAATCATCTAGACTTATTATTCATCTAGACGGATTAGCAAGCTGAAGTGGCAATGGGCAGGGCACATAGTACGCAGAACTGACGGCCGATGGGGCAACAAGGTTCTGGAGTGGAGGCCGCGTACCGAAAAACGCAGCGTGGGACGTCCACCCACAAGGTGGACCGACGACATCGTAAAGGTAGCGGGAAAGCGCTGGACGCAGGCCGCTACCAACCGGGTAACATGGAAAGCATTGGGGGAGGCCTATGTTCAGCAGTGGACGTCCTATGGCTGAGATGATGATGATGATGATCTAAGACTTAAGAGCCAGTTACCTTTGAGCGGCGCGTTGTGCGAGCCCTTGGCGGAGCAGATGAGGCGCGCCACGCCGTCAACCACTTGCGCGCGGCCTGATTCCGTTTCTCCGGACTTCTCCTTCTTCTTGCCAAGGCGCATTACTGAGGACAAAATTATACACATTGACAATTTCTAAATACACAAGTAATCTTTACAGGTACGGGTGCAGTGGTAAGAATTCAACATTTTAACTGCTTGCTACACTCTGCTCAATCTAGTGGCTTGACCTTTAGTCTCATAAAAACTCTGTCATAAAACTCTTTTTTTTTAAATAGGCTTTTAAAAAGCTCTTTTACACGTCCCAGTATTAACCCTACCACTGCTTCGGGACAATAAATGTACCAGTACTGAGAAGAAGCAGAGCGCAAGAAACCTCAGTCCCTAAGCATGTTACTATTGAGCAATTGCTAATACTTAGTAGCATGTGGAAACTGTTTGAACACGCTTGTTTTAAGCTTGTTTTAAGTACGAGCATAATATGTGGTGACTGTATCCTAAAACTATACTCAACATCAAATAAACCGCACCTTAAATATCCTTAAAGAAAAACACATTTCATTCATTAATAAATTATTAACATATACCATAAATGTGAGTTGAAAAAATACCTCACTTTGGGCCCACCTATGGGATCAATTAGACCAATTTTTTGGTTATAAAACCAAATAATGATCTCACGTGTCCTCTTTAACAGATGGATAGCGATTAATCTCAACTTAACAGTTTTATAGCCATAAAAGTTGGCTCTAGCGTAACTACCTATTTTTTGAAGAAGTGACTCTGGATCCTTCTAAAGACACATTTTTGGGGTAGAAACCTTTCCTTTAATGAAATGAAGGTTAGAACTAGGCTTTTATATGGTGCTTATATTGGTGGGAAGTGGGGATGCATACGTTTGAAAATGATTGTCGCGGGAGGTGCGATTTATTTGATGTCGAGTGTAGCATAAACTCCATTCCAGAACCTTGCTGCCCCATCGGCCGTCAGTTCTGCGTACTATGTGCCCTGCCCACTGCCACTTCAGCTTGCTAATCCGTCGGGCTATGTCAGCGACTTTAGTTCGTTTACGGATCTCCTCATTTCTGATTCGATCTCGTAAAGAAACACCGAGCATAGCCCTCTCCATAGCACGCTGTGCAACTTTGAGCTTCTGGAATGGAGGCCACGTACCGGAAAACGCAGCGTGGGACGTCCACCCACAAGGTGGACCGACGACCTGATAAAGGTAGCAGGAAGGCGCTGGATGCAGGCCGCTACCAACCGTGCGATGTAGAAGTCATTGGGGGAGGCCTATGTTCAGCAGTGGACGTCCTGTGGCTGAAATGATGATGATGATGATGTAGCATAAACTTCATTCTCCAACGCGTATACTCACTCTTCTGCTTCTTCTCCTTGGTAAGGTAGGTGATGCAGAGGTGAGCGTTTTGCCGCGACACGTGCAGCGCGCGGAACGACGCCTTGATCGTCACCTTGCCGTCCGCGCCCTCCGCCGCGCGACCCGGCACCTGGACAACGAAATAATGTTCATCTACCAACGAAATAATGTTAATATTTATGTACCATCGGCAACAGTGTTAACTATCCATTGCCTGTCATGTCGTCTCGTTCTATCGCAAAGAATCAGGGCCGGATCTACCTATGGGCTGATTGGGCTGCAGCCCAGGGCCCCGGGGTTACAAGGGGCCCCCAGATCCCGCTAAAAAGTAGGCCATAATTTGAAAAAAAATAAAAAAAATTGTTGTCTGTAAAGTCGGTTTACGGACGATATTTTTACGTGACAACGTCATAAGAAGTTTCAGCCCAGGGCCCCACAAATTCACGATCCGGCCCTGCAAAGAATCACTATTTGATGAGAGCCAGAGCAAAAACGGAAATGGATAGTTAACAGTGTGGCCGTGTGTACGTGAGTGAATGCGTTAAGTCAAAAAAGCAGGCCGCTACCAACCGGTCAATCTGGAAAACATTCGGAGGAAGCCTTTGCAGTAGACCTATGGCTGAAATGATGATGAGAAAAGTCCTACCCCTTGCTAATGGGTAAGACAGTGGCGCCAATTTAATGAGTGTTGCAGCTGCAAGACTTGCGCTTGCGCTAAAACTTGAGGGTGCCCGCGGCGGGAACCCAACGCGTGCGCCAATTAATGCAAGTCGTGCGCCCGCCACCTGTCGCGCGTGTGGAAACACGTCATGCTCATGCGTAGCTCATAGTATTTTTCGATACAGACACGCGTGTGGGCTGCCGTGCGAGTTTTAGCGGAGACCCTTAAACCTCTATAATAAAGGTTATCTCATCAGCCAGTAGTCCAGCTGCAGCTCTAGCGGCTCGGCGCGCGCCAGCAGAGGAGTCGAATTCGACAACACTGCGCTCACGCTCACGTTCCTTTAGTGTCAGGCTGGTTTTAGAGTCACGCTGACGCACGCTGACCGTTAACGCTGACAGCCGAAGGCAGTGGGAAAAAGAGGTGGGAATAGTCCCGTATCCTACCAGCCAGTAGTCCAGCTGCAGCTCGAGCGGCTCGGCGCGCGCCAGCAGCGGCGGCGCCAGGTCGTGCTCCTCCAGCGAGGACACGCGGCCTCGCTCCACTGGCGTCCCACTCCAGCCACTCACCAGCCAGTAGTCCAGCTGCAGCTCGAGCGGCTCGGCGCGCAGCAGCGGCGGCGCCAGGTCGTGCGCGGGCGCGGGCGTGGCGGGCGGCGAGGGCCGCGCGGGGGGCGAGCCGCCGCCGCCCTCCTCCAGCTCTAACGAGGACACGCGGCCTCGCTCCACTGGCGTCCCACTCCAGCCACTCACCAGCCAGTAGTCCAGCTGCAGCTCGAGCGGCTCGGCGCGCAGCAGCGGCGGCGCCAGGTCGTGCGCGGGCGCGGGCGTGGCGGGCGGCGAGGGCCGCGCGGGGGGCGAGCCGCCGCCGCCCTCCTCCAGCTCTAACGAGGACACGCGGCCTCGCTCCACTGGCGTCCCACTCCAGCCACTCACCAGCCAGTAGTCCAGCTGCAGCTCGAGCGGCTCGGCGCGCAGCAGCGGCGGCGCCAGGTCGTGCGCGGGCGCGGGCGTGGCGGGCGGCGAGGGCCGCGCGGGGGGCGAGCCGCCGCCGCCCTCCTCCAGCTCTAACGAAGACACCGCGCCCTCGCTCACGCCTACGCGGACCTCCTGGATAATAGACGCGATTTTTACTATAGGTGTTGAAAAAAATACCCGTTACCATTCAATAGTTTTTTTACACCATACAGTCTTGCAAAAAAAAATTAAGCTAAGGGGTATCCCCAAACAACCAACTACTGAATGAAACGCGAACAGAAGATTGACGCAGCCGAAGATTTTGTTTTATAATAATGTAGTGAAGGTGGTACAAAAAATCCCGTTAACAATAAACTTAAATTTTCTAAACCATACAAGGTGTTGCAAAATAGACGTTAAGCTGATAAGGTAGAAATTTTACTACATCGTAAATCGAAGCAAGATGTGCTTTGTAATTGTTGTTGTTTTGAATGTGCTAACTATCGATTCCAATCCGATTAAGGTCGTATCCAAATCAATTACTATGCTTATTTATCTATACTAATATTATAAAGCTGAAGAGTTTGTTTGTTTGTTTGTTTACTTGAACGCGCTAATCTCAGGAACTACCGGTCCGATTTGAAAAATTCTGTCAGTGTTAGATAGCCCATTTATTGAGGAAGGTCATAGGCTATAAACCATCACGCTACGAGTAATAGGTGCAGAGCAAAAATGAAAAATGTTGCGAAAACGGGTTTACGTACAAAGTCGCGGGCACAGCTAGTCTTAAATATTACGTTGCCCAATTCCTAATCATACTCACCGCGATGAAGGGCACGAAGGTCTGGCTGGCGTCCTCGTCGCCGGACTTCTCGCGGTAGGCCACCATGGCCTCCCCGATCGGCACGTTGTTCACGGGCCCGATGGTGTTCAGATACCTGGAGACATACATCTTTATTATGTGAACAATATGTTACAAAAGACCCGTTGGATCGATCCTACTTCGAAACGTTGTTTGATTATTTTCGGGTCTGTCTGTCACCGTCGCTCATGCTGGCATATAGCTTTGCGTGAGAGAGATGGCCACATTCTAAACTTTGGATAAAGTTTTTTGGAGCACAACAGCTAAAAACTTTATTCGATGTTTCGAATGTTTCCATCTTTCTCACACAAAGCAAATTGATCTCACATGAAAGACAGGGATGGCTAAAAACAAAACTACGTAAGCAACGTTCGTGTGAAGTGACCAGTTCGAACCAGCGTTCCTCGGATTTACAGTCCGCTTTAAATACTTTTACTAGATACATCAAAGGGCGATGGAGCGTGCTATGCTCGGAGTTTCCCTGCGTGATCGAATCAGAAATAAGGAGATCCGCAGGAGAACCAAAGTAACCGACATAGCTCGCAGAATTGCTAAAATCAAGTGGCAGTGGGCGGGGCACATAGCTCGTAGAGACGATGGCGGTTGGGGCAGGAAAGTTCTCGAGTGGCGACCACGGGCTGGAAGACGTAGCGTGGGCAGGCCTCCTACTAGGTGGACCGACGATCTGGTAAAGGTCGCGGGAAGAGCCTGGATGCGGGCAGCGCAGGACCGTTCATTGTGGAAAACCTTGGGGGAGGCCTTTGTCCAGCAGTGGACGTCATTTGGCTGAAAAGAAGAAGATCAAGAAGAACAAACAAATGGTTATCAATATTAGTACACTCAGAACTCACCTGGCAATCCTCGAAGACATCTCAGCGATGTCGGACACGCAGTCATTGGCCCGGTCGCACAGCGCGAGCCACGATTCGCCCGTGAACAGCGCTGCGTACGTGCTGTCACTGGCTGCCAGGTAGCGCGCCACTGTGTTCTGGCCTGCAGGGGGATTGAGGTTAGGGCGACTGTTTATAAAGTAAAGAGAAGGTATCGACTAGGAAGAACTAAATTCTTCTTTCGCAGACCTAAAATGTAAGTATAAATGTATGAAAATGTAAGGAGGCTTTAGTTCTTCTCTGTTTATTATACTCCTGATTTAATTGCACTCTGTATACATGCATTTACATTTGGTAGAGTGTAGTCGAGATCTTTCCAAGAGTAACAGTTTTCATGAAGTCGGTTGTAGACAGAAAAAGAAGTAGTAAGAGTAGTTGTTGTACCCAGTAAAAAGATTTGTCATCGACAATTGTGATCTCCGTTAGTTTTCAATATAACGCGTGACGACAGACAGCTAGATTGTAAACTAACAGTAGATTAGGTTAGATTGTAATAAAACTACGTCAGATTATAATCTGACGGAATTCACAATTGTACGGTGATAGATACATACCCAACGGCACAATGTAGAACCGTATCTGCAGCTCGTCGTGCGGGCCGAGATCATCACTCGCAGGCACGCGCGCCGGCCCGTCCTGAGGGTAGATAGGGGCCACTTACCTAAGGGCACGATGTAGAACCGTATCTGCAGCGCGTCGTGCGGGCGGCGCGCGGCCAGCTCCGCATGAGCCCGCAGCGCCGCCGCCGTGGCTCCGTCGCCGCCACATATCACCACCCACACTCACGCGTGCCGGCCCGTCCTGAGGTTAGATAGGGGCCACTTACCTAAGGGCACGATGTAGAACCGTATCTGCAGCGCGTCGTGCGGGCGGCGCGCGGCCAGCTCCGCATGAGCCCGCAGCGCCGCCGCCGTGGCTCCGTCGCCACCACATATCACAAACCACCCACACGCGCGCCGGCCCGTCCTGAGGTTAGATAGGGGCCACTTACCTAAGGGCACGATGTAGAACCGTATCTGCAGCGCGTCGTGCGGCCGGCGCGCGGCCAGCTCGGCGTGGGCCCGCAGCGCCGCCGCCGTGGCTCCGTCGCCGCCACATATCACCACCCGTACGCACGCGCGCCGGCCCGTCCTGGGAAGGTTGGAGAGAAAACTCAATAAAAATGACAGTCAAATTGCGCAGAGCAAGCAAAAAATAAACACTGGAAGTTGGGCAGTTAACCAAGATTTTTATTTCTATAAAAGAACTCAAAAGTCTAGCCTTTGAACACCAATTAGAGAATGAATCCGAGACTCCGCGGCAGACACGCAGTTTATCAACTGTGCGGCAGATACCTACCTATTTACGAATTAGAGCCACACGATTTTGTCTAATGACCCCACCCTTATCGCTCGCGCGTAATTATATTGCTGTCGCGCTAGCACACTCACTGCGGCTGCCCGTTGCACAGTCGCGACAGCAATATAATTACACGCGAGCGATAAGGATGGGTAGCTTGGGGTCATTGAACGAAATTCAACGTGCTCGGCGACCGGGCTTTAGACAGTTACTGCTCCCACAGAACGCACATCAAAAACTCACTGCTTATACAGCGCGAGCAGCAGTAGAACGCGTGCAGAGCCGTGGCTGGCACCACTGCCACTATTACAGAGGCGGGGCTCTCCACAGACAGTTATCTACTGCTCCCAAAGAACGCGCATCAAACAGTTACTGCTCCCAAAGAACGCACATCAAACAGTTACTGCTCCCAAAGAACGCGCACCAAACACTCACTACTTATACAGCACGTGCAGGGCCGCGGCCGGCGCTCCCAGAAGCGGGGCACTCCTCACACACAGCTAGATAGTAACTGCTTACAAAGGACACGTATCAAACACTCACTGCTTATACAGCGCGTGCAGCAGATGCCGCGCGTCGGGCAAGTGCGGCGCGGCGACTACTTAAGGGACGGGGCCCTCCTCACAGACAGCTATCATTGGTTCCCAAAGTGGGGGGCGCGCCCCCCAGGGGAGGCCCGCAGACACAAACACAGACAGCTAGATGGTTACTGCTCCTACAGAACGCATATCAAACACTTACTGCTTATACAACGCGAGCAGCAGGTGCCGGGCGCGTGCAGGGCCGCGGCCGGCGCGCCCGGGTCACCACGGCTACTAAGGTAGCCTTTCGAACTAAGCGTCACAGACGCAGCGTCTTTAGCTTTAGTCTTGTGCCACCAACGCCGCGTCACTAACTCGCTTCCAAAGGCTACCTTTAAGACCAAAGCTAAAGACGCTGCGTCTGTGACGCTTAGTTCGAAAGGCTACCTTTACTTGAGGGGCGGGGCTATCCTCACAGACAGCTAGACAATTACTGCTCACACAGAATGTGCATCAGACACTTACTGCTTATACAACGCGTGCAGCAGATGCCTGGCGCGTGCAGATCCGTGGCTGGCGCGCCCGGGGGCACCACGGCCACTATCACAGAGGCGGGGCTATCTTCAAAGACAGCTAGATAGTAACTGCTTACAAAGGACACGTATCAGACACTTACTGCTTATAGAGCGCGTGCAGCAGATGCCTGGCGCGTGCAGATCCGTGACTGGCGCGCCCGGGGGCACCACGGCTACTACTTCGGGGGCGGGGCCCTCCTCACAGACAGCTAGACAGTTACTGCTTACAAAGGACACGTATCAAACACTCACTGCTTATCCAGCGCGTGCAGCAGATGCCTGGCGCGTGCAGATCCGTGGCTGGCGCGCCCGGGGGCACCACGGCCACTATCACAGAGGCGGGGCTATCTTCAAAGACAGCTAGATAGTAACTGCTTACAAAGGACACGTATCAGACACTTACTGCTTATAGAGCGCGTGCAGCAGATGCCTGGCGCGTGCAGATCCGTGACTGGCGCGCCCGGGGGCACCACGGCCACTACTTCGGGGGCGGGGCCCTCCTCATAGACACTAGATAGCTGCTTACAAAGGACACGTATCAGATACTCACTGCTTATACAGCGCGTGCAGCAGATGCCGCGCGCCCAGCGCGTGCAGGACCGCGGCCGGCGCGCCCGGGGGCACCACGGCCACCACTTCGGGGGCGGGGCCCTCCTCATAGACAGCTATAGCCCGGTCGCCGAGCACGTAGAATTTTGTCCAATGACCCCACCTTTATCGCTCGCGCGTAATTATATTGCTGTCGCGCTCGCACACTCACTGCGGCTGCCCGTTGCACAGTCGCGACAGCAATATAATTACACGCGAGCGATAAGGATGGGTAGCTTGGGGTCATTGAACGAAATTCAACGTGCTCGGCGACCGATCTTGAGATAGTTACTGCTCCCACAAAACGCGCATCAGACACTCACTGCTTGCTTATACAGCACGTGCAGGGCCGCGGCCGGGGCGCCCAGAGGCGGGGCCCTCCTCACACACAGCTAGACAGTTACTGCTCACACAGAACGCGTATCAAACACTCACTGCTTATACAGCGCGTGCAGCAGATGCCGCGCGTCCGGCGAGTGCGGCGCGGCGACCACGCAGGCGGCGCCCAGCGCGTGCAGGGCCGCGGCCGGGGCCCCCGGGGGCACCACGGCCACTACTAAAGAGGCGGGGCTCTCCACACAGACAGCTAACAAAGGACACGAATCAGACACTTACTGCTTATACAGCGCGTGCAGCAGATGCCGCGCGTCCGGCGAGTGCGGCGCGGCGACCACGCAGGCGGCGCCCAGCGCGTGCAGGGCCGCGGCCGGGGCCCCCGGGGGCACCACGGCCACCACTTCGGGGGCGGGGCCCTCTTCGCCCACGGCGCGAGCCACCTGCTCCGAAAGGCCGCGGCGGGGCTGCAAAAGACGATTCTAATTTAAATTCTCCAATAGTATGTAGATACTACGTCATTTCACGAATCACGACGTGTTGAAAGGTTACAAACGAACACCAGTAAACAAATGTCACAAACAAACCCAGTTTTTGAAGACTTTGAAGTTTCATCGTTCGTTTCAGCCAAATAACGTCCACTGCTGGACAAAGGCCTCTCCCCCAAGGATTTCCATAACGACTGCTCGCATACTGACTTTTCCCGCGACCTTCACCAGATCGTCGGTCCACCTAGTGGGAGCCCTTACGTCTTCCGGCCCGTGCTCACCACTCAAGAACTTTTCTGCCCCAAAGTTTCATACCAATAAATAATGTTGTTAGCTTCAAAAGCAGATGGCAAAAAAATTATCCTGAAAAGTTTTGAGGTTTGTATTTACATAGTAACTTGTATAAACAACATAAATATCACGCAGCGAAATTGCACCCAAACCAAATAGTTAAATAAGCCTAAGCATAAAATTATCCAGAGGTTGTGAGACTCTCCCCGCCAGAAGAGCGGAGCTTACCCACTAAAATAGGACCTTATCCTCCGGAGCCTAATGAAACGGAGCCACGAGTTATTGTACGAACTTGGAAATTCGTTCGCGGGTCATTATTCTAGTCGGGTCCGTGGCCGAGTCCCCCGGTCAGTGAAATTTGATTTGAACTGACTGTTCTGAACGGCATAAAAATGTTAATGGCGGGTGGGGCCTACCCACTAATGCTTCAACCACATCAATGCGTGCAGATCGCCATCGCCGGCGCGATCACGGCGCGCTCATAGGGGAATGACAGGTCGCGTGAACTGTCATGGGTCGCGCGACCTGTCATTGGCCTTTGGTCGCACCGGCGATGGCGATCTGCACGCGTTGGTGTGGTTGAAGCTCACTCTCCCCGCCAGAGGGACGGGACCTACCCACTAAAACCCGCGGTGACTTCCAGAGCCTAATGAAACGGAGCCGCGACGGTGTNAAGGTTGTAAGACTCTCCCCGCCAGAGGGGCGGGGCCTACCCACTAAAACCCGCGGTGACTTCCAGAGCCTAATTAAACGGAGCCGCGACGGTGTCCTCCGGAGCCTAATGAAACGGAGCCGCGAGTAATTGTCCTAACTTAACATTCGTCGCCGAGCACGTAGAATTTTGTCCAATGACCCCAAGCTAATCCTTATCGCTCGCGCGTAATTATATTGCTGTCGCGACTGTGCGACGGACGCCCGCAACGAGTGTGCGAGCGCAACAGCAACATAATTACGCGCGAGCGATAAGGATGGGGTCATTGGACAAAATTCTACGTGCTCGGAGACTGGGCTTAGTCGCTGTTTGATTTACGTTATTCAACCAATTTCCAATAAACACCCGCACACCCAAAAGTTATAAATGGGTCATTCCATAAAAATCTNCTTTGAAAGTGCAGCAGCATTAAAATGAACTTTGAAACTCTGAATCCATAATAATATTATCACCATGAAATGCACTATAGTCATTACTAACTACTTAACTAATGTTTGTTTACGTAAAGCATTTGCGAACCAAAAAAAAAATTATAGGTTAGATTAAACTTGATTATACTTTTATCAGTCATATTGAATATTTTTTTTGATGTTTACACCTGCTCTTATGTAATAACGACATAAAACTAGATAAAACTTACCAAAATCAAAATAAATCACTTGAAAACTCGCCACCACAACAAAACAAAACTAACAGCAAACAAACAAGCGAGCGAATCACGACATTGGCTCTGATCGGATTCATTCACTCATTCAACGCGCCGAACATGACCGATAACAGCGCGGAAACTCCCGAATGCACATTCGGTTTCGGTCGTAGTTTCGGCAAGTTTGCCGCCGAAAACGAAACTAAACCGAAACTCGTGTTTTTACCGAAACTCAACCGAAAACGAAACCGAAACCGAACATTCGGTCGGACACTATTCCCTATGATCGTACCGTGATCGCGCCGGCGATGGCGATCGGCACATGTTGAAAGTTCAAACCCGACGGTGTCCTCTGGAGCCTAATGAAAGGGAGCCGCGAGTAATTGTCGCTGTTGCGCTCGCACACTCACTGCGGACGCCCGTCGCACAGTCGCGACAGCAATATAATTACGCGTGAGCGATAAGGATGGGTAGCTTGGGGTCATTGGACAAAATTCTACGTGCTCGGAGACCGGGCTTAGTCGCTGTTTGATTTACGTTATTCAACCAATTTTCAATAAATACCCGCACACCCAAAAGAAATAATAAAAAGTTGTCAAGTCCTACATGTGTGTTTACCTCCAGCGCGGTGGGGCTCTGCGCGGGCAGCTCGTGCGCCGACAGCGGGCGCTCCGCCGCCGACACCAGGGAGTTCTTCTTGCGCCCGCCGGAGCCCGGGGTATTGACTACTATTCCTGTCGTTTAACTTTCCCCCGGGACAAACTTGACCTTCACTAGTTGGGTTTTATTGGCGGTCAAGCTGTAGATCCTGGCTACACAGGAGTTGCAGCGGTGGGAACGAGAGGTGGGAATAGTCCCGTTATTTCAGTCGCTTATTTTTGCTTGGAAATGCCTTGCGCATACCTACTGGCCGATAAGGACAACCAGAGGGTTGTGATTCTTCCCGCCGAAAGAGCGGGGTCTACCCACTAAAACCCGCGGTGACTTCCAGAGCCTAATGAAACGGAGCCGCGAGTAATTGTCTCTGTTGCGCTCGCACACTCACTGCGGGCGCGCGTCGCACAGTCGCGACAGCAATATAATTACGCGCGAGCGATAAGGATGGGTAGCTTGGGGTCATTGGACAAAATTCTACGTGCTCGAAGACCGGGCTTA